TTTAAAAATTATCAAGGATGACTAGAATTAAAAAATAAACCTGTTTACAAAATTTCACCATACCACAATGGGGCTCACCAGTTCCAAGTTTAAAGGTCCAAATAAAATAAAGAAATTAGTTTTATGAAGTGGTAAGTAAATATATGCAATTTGTTACCTAAGAAGCCATGCATGATTAAGATAAACACATTCTGAAATGTTTATAGAAAATTCAAGATAGAAGACACGTAGTGGGTTACTAAGTAAAGTACACGTGAAGTATATTACCAATGTTGGGGGCGGAGGGGTTTAAGAGGATGGGCCGGCGGACCTGGCCTGGGAAAGAAGTCCTATTGTCAAAATGTTGAGGCTGATTCCTATTGAATGTCCCTTAGTGCCACTACAGAATATTAAACTGCGTGGTTCCAGAATGGCACTTACACGCTCCAGCCTTAGAAGAGTTCATAACTGAAGATTTTGCTTTTCTGTGGGAACAAGGAGGTGCACGACTTTCACACTGGGCAGTTACTCTGCGTTATGTACCAGGCCTCTGCTAGATACCTTAAAGCATCTCATTTAATTCTCACAAGGCAGCCCTCGCCGGACTGGCTCATGGGACAGAGTGTTGGCATGCGGACCAAAGCGCCCCGTCCATTCAGATCCAGGGCGGTATGTTGGTTGTAGGCTCCTCCCCAAGCCAGGCCCTGGTCGGGAGGTGTGCAGGAGGCAACCAACCTACGTGTTTCTCTCACATCAGCATTTCTCTGCCTTTCTCTCCATCTTCCACTCCCCTTTGTCTCCAATCTCTATCACATCTTGCTGATTGTACCTTCAAAAATATATTCAAAATCCATTATATTTTTTGAACATGTTTCAAAATATATAATCCAGATCTCATTACTGCCACTTTAGTTCATCTGTAGCCTGGATTATTCAAAGAGCCTCCTAACTAGACTCTGGTTTTTCTATCCTCATCTCTCCTCCAGGCCATTCTGAATCCTTGGCAAAGGATTAAAGACGCCGTCACTCTTTTGTTCAATACATTCCAACAGTTCCCCACCTTATTGAGGAAAAATCTAAAGTCCTTACCATGGGCAAGACTCAGTACTACTGACATCATTTCTTCCCGTCTCTTCCGGCATCCACCTGCACCTGCCTCATTATTCCTCAAACATCCCAACTGTGTCTTTCCCCCTCCTGCTCCCTCTGTCGGGAACACTCCTCGGATTTCACCTTTTCAGGTCTCTGTCCAAATGGCTCCCTATCAGGACAGCCTCTCTTCCCCATTCTGCCCTCCAAGCACTCCGCATCCCACTGCACACTCCTCACAGCTCTCATTACCACCTCATGTTCTCAGGGTGCCTTTCTTTAATACTCGGTCTGCCCACACAACTTAAGCTTCATGTGAGTAGGACCTGTTTTCATCGTTGTTGTTTCTCCAGTGCCTAGAACAGGACCTGGCAGGAAGTAGGCACTTGAAAAACATCTACCGAGTGAAAATATGACTCATCAATGCCAAAACTTGAATTCCTAAACACTCTGGTATCAGCAACCATAGAACTAGTGATAGCTTGGCCTTTTCTCAGTTCTGGCATTTCCAGGTTAACAGCACAGCCTCCTAACTACACACACACACAATGAAGGCAATAACTTTTATTCTTCATTTACATTTGTCTTCCCATAAGTCAGTAATTTTCAAAACTGAGCCTTAGGTTCTCATTACCTCATAAAGTTCTTTTTTCCTGCTATTCACTCCGCTCACTGCTAGGCTCTTCTGAGCTACTCTAAGAAAATGTAAATCCCTCAAGTGATAAACACTGATTTTTCTGCATTCTGATTGTTCTATCACTCTAACCAGACTGCAAGTTTCTTTGAGGTAATCAATCTGGTTCAATCTGTCTCACCCAGAAAATTCTTTCAAATTTGTTATGTATCCCATTTTCAATTCCTTTCACAAATATTAAAGCTCAGTAATAATTTTGGCCATTCTTTTCCACGAATTACCTATTCTCACCTACATGGTGTGGTGAGGGGCATTACCAAAGTTAAGGAGAACCATACATTAACATGGGCAAGGGGGACACAATGACAATAGCTCTTGGTACAATGTGGTCAGTTCCTCACTCTGCAGATCTGAGGGAGGGAGGAAGTGAGGAAGGCAGGCCAGGTAGAGAGGTGGAAGCTCGGATTGCCTTTCACAATTCCGCCCTGGCAATTTAAAAGAGCAGGACTAACAGGTTCCTGAAGTTCACCTTAAAGGTATTTTGTTGACTGGTGTTAAGGACTTGAGAAAAGATTTAAAAATTAAAAGGAAGACATCAAGTAATCCAAATTTCATCATCATTCAATTCTTACTTCCTACTGTTTTTCTAGGAAAATTCCAATGGCAACAGAAAAATGAAGGGATACATTCAAATTTAATGATGTTGATGTAAAGAAATGATATGGCAAATGGGGGGAATGGGAAACATCTGTAATACTTTTTTTTTTTAATATATTTTATTGATTTTTTACAGAGAGGAAGAGGGATAGAGAGCTACGGTAGAAACATCAATGAGAGAGAAACATCGACAAGCTGCCTCTTGCACACCCCCTACTGGGGATGTGCCCGCAACCAATGTACATGCCCTTGACCGGAATGGAATCTGGGACCTTTCAGTCCACAGAACCACGCTCTATCCATTGAGCCAAACTGGTTTCGGCCATCTCTAATACTTTCAATAATAAAAAATAAATGACTTAAAAAGTATTTTTTCAATAATGTTAATAAAGGGGCTAAAGACCACAGCTTCCTGCAAACTCTATCCCCCCAAAATACAAAATACTTGTATGCTCTGTTTGGAAAATACAATTTTCTTTTTTAAGTTTCTCTGTGGATGCTTAATTTGAGAACAAACCAAAAGGTACTATAAAAATGCAGTGTCCTTAATAAAATGAACGCCAATGGGAAACCTACCTTAAGTTTAACATTTGCCATTAATAACCCAGGAAGTTATGTTTGTGGGTATAAAACTGAAGAGTGGCTACAGTTACAGGTAAAATTAAAAAGTTTAAACACAGTGAGGTGCGGAGAGACACAGCGGGGTGAAGTGGGTTGAAAATTCCCAAAGTTCCACAAGCAGTAAGAACTGTTTTCTTGTCTTTTACCCAATCAGTGTGACGCATCTTACATTCCCTATCCTGGAAAAAAATTAAAATTTAAGCGGTCCCATATAAACACCCATCTCCACAACAGCACAACGTTAAAGTTAAAGCCAGTCTTTAATGCTTCCTTGAAGTCTGAAACCCAAAGCTCCTTTATGGAATTCACTGCTGATAAAGGTGAATGACCAGTAAATTTGAGTGAAGCATCTAAGTCTGCTGTTTACTATACAGACAAGGTCAGATTCGTGATAAGAAAACTTACAAAATATCCAAAGGCCAGATCCGAAAGCAGCATACCAGTCGGGATGAAAAAGCCACCAAAGAACGTAAACATAAAAGAGCCAGAAGGAATCCTAGAAACTCGGGGTCACTTCCTCCCTTCACTCAACTCCTCTGGGAGGCCTTCCCTAACCGCCCCCCCATCCCCTCTCTCCCTGCTCCCGGAGTTATCCTCCCCATGGCAGCTGCTACTGTGGGTCAGAGTGTCAGAGGCCCTTCCTCACCGCCTCCCGCCTAAAATGTAAGCTCCCTGCGGGCAGAGGCCGTGCCAGTTTCGTGAACCCCGGGACCCAGAGGCACACAGCTGGCACTCAATAAATGTGCCGGATAAATAAGTGATGAAACGGGAGTTCAGAGACGTTAAAGGATTTCCTAAGGGTCACAGAGCGAGCAGCGAGCCCAGCCCATGCTGTCACCGGCTCCTGGCTCCTTTCATTCCGCTTGCACGACGCCAAAGCAGCCTGTACCTGCACACACCCTATTACACAGACTTCTTTTCTTCTTCTTTTTTAAATATCAAAAAAAAAAAAAAAAGTGACACACTGGGTAGCATTTTACTGTCAAGTGTTTCACCAACCAAAACTCTACTCAGATGTCATCCGCACACAGGAGCGGCCAGCAAAGCGCCGTGCTTGACGTTCCCTGTGAAATGTGGTGTCTGGCTTGCAAGGTTTTAAGAGCCACTTAACGGACTCCGAATGGCCTGCAAAGTATCGGCCTCCCTTTCGTGCTTCTGAGAGGCCATACACTGCTCCTCCCTGGATGTACACTCTATTGGGCAGATTCTGCAGGAAACGTAACCCTTTTAGCAGTCCCTTTTTTAACCAAAAGTCTCATCTCCCCGGACACTGGCCAACACATGAACCCTGGGGAAAGTTTTCAGGTTCTGGGGACAGGAAAACCACCTCTGAACTGCACACCCTCCGACTGCGGTCCTTCTCCCTTTAAAAGCCATGCATCCGAAATACCTGAGAGAGACGCGGGAGGGGGGAGGGAGTGGGCAGGAGAGAAGAGGAGGCATTTACATATGTAAAGACAGACAGAGCTGGATATTCCTAGTAACACTTTCTCCCTCCTCCTTCCCCCCCCCACCCCCCCACCGGCTTCTCTCCAAAGTCAAGGCCTCGCAGAGGGAACTTGTGCGGTCTTCCCGGCTCCCCTCCGCCTGCCAGAGAGAAACCTACCGCCCGCACCCTCGGCGGGGACGCCTCTGAGACCCAGGACAGAGAGTGGGCCGTTCGCTCGACGTCTTCAAAGCCACTGCCAGCCCCATGGGGAGACCGAAAGGGGAGCCCCAAAGACGCGCGATGGCCAGAGAGGGGGAATGCGCCGGAGCTGAGAGAAGGAAGGAGCGAGCGCAGGGCAGCGGGCGGGTAAACAAGGCACCGGGGCGGCGGGGGGGAACCCGGGTCACGGAAGTGGGGTCAGCCAAAGGCAAAGGGGAAGGGGGCGGAAGGGGGCCATCCTGGTGGTGGGGGCGAAGGGGAGGGGACCCAGAGGGCCGAGGAGGGAGGGAAGGAGGAGGGGGAAGGGTCCGGGGCGGGGCGACGGGGAGTCGAGAGGCGGGATGAAGAGGGCCAGGCCGGGAGGGTCTTTACCTGCAGCTCCGCCCGCTCCACCTCCCACTGGGCTCTCTCCACCTCGAAGCGGGCCCACTCGTGCTGCAGGAAGTGCAGGATCCCCGGCAGGCTGTACTGGGCTCGGGCCGCCCCCGCCGCGGCCGCCCCGTCGCCGGCCGCCTCGGCCAGAGGCCCGAGACCCTTGGCCCCGCCGCCGGCGCCCGGGTGGTTGTTGCCGAAGAAGACGCCGGGACCCGCCTGCTCGTCCATGGCAGCCGCAGAAGCCCCGCGGGGAGCTGCCCAGCGCCCAGCAGCGGAGGCAACGGCGGCGGCGGCGGCGGCAGCAGCGCCTCCTCCTCCCCTCCGCCGCTCCCCGCCCACACCCCAGTCAGCAGGGAGCAGCCGCCTCGGCGCGGGGGCCGGCCGAGCCGGGACGGGCCGGGAAATGGGTCAACGACGGCGCGCGGGCGGCGCGCGGCACGCTGGGAAATGTAGTCCGGCGGCGGGGGCGTGGCTCGGCGGCGGGGGCGGCCTGTAGGGCTGCGGCGTGCGTGCGTGCGTGCGCGGGGCCCCGCCCCTTTCCTGCGCGGCCCCGCCCCTTTCCGGCCCGGGGCGGCGGCAGGGCAGCTCCCCTCGGGGCGCGCGGGTTTCCTGTGGGCGGGGCGGGCGCAGCCGGGCAGCGCTGCGGGGTCCCTCGCACGCGGAAGTTGGCGGCGGCGCTCCCTGTTGCACACCCACACCCACACCCACACACGGAAGTTATCAGGCCGGACTACCCGCCCGAGCGGCACTTCTTTCGGGGCTTCCTGGTGGTAGTTCCGCTAAGAAACGAGCTCCAAGCGAGCTTCCTCGACTTCGTGTTGCCCTGACCTAGATGACACTCCTGCCATCTGCCCATCGCTGTCGCTTCTCCCTTTTTCACTCAGGGGTTCAGGCCTGTTGCGGGGGTCTGTTTTCACTTAAAAGGAGCTCTGGGGGTCTGTTTTCACTTAAAAGGAGCTCTGGCCCTGACCGGTGTGGCTCAGTAGGTAGAGCGTCGGCCTGCGGACTGGAAGGTCCCGGGTTCGATTCCGGTCAAGGGCATGTACCTTGGCTGCGGGCACATCCCCAGCGGGGAGTGTGCAGGAGGCAGCTGGTCGATGTTTCTTTCCCATGGATGTTTCTGACTCTCCCTTCCTCTCGGTAAGGAATCAATAAAATATATGGGGGGGGGGGCTCTGATCGATCGCCTCTCCTATGTACTCCTATGTTGCTTTGTTGACACCTCATCTGAAAAAAAGGTGCTCCGCTGAAGTCGCCTTCCCTTTGTGGTTCATCTTACAGTCAAATCTCTAAAACGTTTCCGTTATCCGAGGCCACGGTATTCCCGTCTCCTTTTCCCCGCCTTATTCCCGCGCAGTTTTTCTTCGATTCCACCACTGTTTGGTGGTCACGGTTACATCTGTGGCTGGGGATGGAAAGATAAGGGACACTTCCTGCCGTCAAAGGGAAGCTGGCGAGTAAATAACCCGTCTGCCAGTGCCTTAAAGCGACACGACCTGAGAAAAAACAAAGCCCCTTTCTGCTCCCTAGACCTGTCTCAGGTTCCTGGGCGCCTCTCCCGAAGGGACACCCGAGTTCCTTCAGCTGTTTCTGCGCAAGTGTCACCCTCCTCCGAAGTCCCTGAAATTGTCCCTGGAAGCTCAGGCTACCACAATAATGAAAGGAACACGTTTTGAAAAAGTATGTAACATCATGCTGAGTGAAATAAGCCAGTCAATGAAAGAAACACCACATGACCTCATTTATGGATAATAAACTGATGAACCAAAAGATAGATATAGAGACAGTAAAGCAACAGGCAGACTGTCAAATGACAGCGGGCAGGGGAGGGGAGATGTGGGGGAGATACTAGATCAACCGAAGGACTATAAGTACAACCAATGGACACAAAACTCTGAGGAGGGAGGGCATGTATGGGAGTGGAGGGGACAATGGTAAGATATGTACACAGATAATAATTTAATAAAAAATTTTAAAGAAGTATATAACAAGTGCAAATAAAATTAAGCACTTATTTAGTCTTCACAACAAGTTATTTGCAGTTCTTATGATTTGTGGGGTGGACTTCTTAGATACCAGATCCGATGGCCATGAAAAAAAAAAAGGAAAGATATAGGCTGATGAGTGACATGTCAAGGAAGGACATCCTGTCCCTCTCCCCTTTCGCTTCCCTTCCCATGGCTGCTTGTGGAAAGGGCAGGAAACACATTGTGTCTGCAAATAAAAATGGCAAGCCCTGCTCTCCTACGACATTGAAGGTTTCTGTTTCATTGATTCATTCTTTATGATAATAAAAGGGTGGTGCATGGCCAAATCCCCTGTGTCATAATTATTTTGGCTGTTAAGTGTCCTCTCAGATACTGCCCAAGCCTCTCATTTTACAGCTCAAGAAACTGAAGTTCAAAGAAGTTTGAGACTGGTCTACAATGAGGTTTTTATTCAGTGGCACAGGCAAAACTGGAAACCAGTATTCCTGATTGCTCGTTCACTGGCCTTTTCACTAACGATGCCTCTTCTCTTATCAGACCAACGTCAGTTCCAAGGGGCCAATAGTGCAGCAGTAGCATCTTTCTTTATTTGAAGGATTTAGGTAATCTTAGGGATTTTTTTAAAATGTATTTTTATTGATTTTTTTTACAGAGAGGGATAGAGAGTTAGAAATATTGATGAGAGGGAGGCATCGATCAGCTGCCTCTTTCACATGCCCTACTGGGGATGTGCCTGCAACCAAAGTACATGCCCTTGACCGGCATCAAACCCAGGGACCCTTCAGTCCACAGGCCAACGCTCTATCCACTGAGCCGCACCGGTTAAGCACCTCTGTCCCCTGTCCTAGCTCTGCCCTACCCTTCTTTCTTGGGATTGGAATCTGTGGCTCCTGATTAACCAGAGGTGTCAGGGCTATTTTAGAGATTTTTAACATTAAAAGCTATTTTTCTCTAATAAAGGACATCTGACAATTCATTTAAATAAATTCATAACACACTATTAAATATAATTAAACTAAATGGTAGCTTTTGAGGAACCCATAAATCATTTATCTAGATTCACGAAGAAAAAAAGAAAAAAAAAATCAGAAATGAAAGAAGAGATATTACCACATAAATTCAAAAGGTCATAAGAAACTGAACAATTATAGGTCAAATTGGACAGCCTAGAAGAAATGGATAAATTTATAGAATCATGCAACCTACCAAGACTGAATCATGAAGAAATAGAGAATCTGAGCAGAGTGCCATAAGGAGATTGAATCAGTAATCAGAAACCTCTCAAACAAAGAAAAGGCTAGGACCAGATGGCTTTGCTGGTGAATTCGGACAAACATTCAACAAAAAATTAATAATCCTCAAACTCTTCCAAAACATAGAAAAGGAAGAAACGCTTCCAAACTCATTTTAGGCGGTCAGCATCACCCTGACAACACTAGACAAGGACACCACAGGAAAAGAGCATGAGAGGCCAATATCCCTGACAAAAATAGATGCAAAAGCCCTCAACAAAATATTAACAAGTAAAAGTAAACAATACATTAAAAAGATTAAACACTGAGCAAGTGGGTTTTATTCATGGAGGCAAGGCAGTTCTGCATCCTCAAATCAACCAATGTGATATACCACATTAAGAATACTATATAATAAAAGCCTAATATGCGAAATGACCAAACAGCAGAATGGGGGGTGAGGGGAGAGGAGTAGGGCCAGCCAAGGTAGGTGTCAGTGGCAGAGGGAAGGGATGGCAATTGGGGCAGTGGCAGAGGGGCAATGGGGGTTGGCGCTTGCCATTTGCCAGCCCCTGATTGGCCCACCAGTCGCTTCCCACAGAGGGAGGCCAGACTGTGGGTTAGGCCCACTCCTGGCAGGCCTAAGCTGTCAGTCAGACAGTGAAACATTGTGAAATGCTAATATGTTATTTTGATAATTGGAGTGTGTGCTATTTTTTTTAAACAGATTTTATTGATTTTTTTTACAGAGAGGAAGGGGCCGAGGGGTAGAGAGCTACAAACATTGATGAGAGAGAAAGATCCATCAGCTGCCTCCTGCACGCCCCCTACTGGGGATGTGCCCCCAACCAATGTACATGCCCTTGATCGGAATCAAACCCGGGACCCTTCAGTCCACAGGCTTACGCTCTATCTACTGAGCCACACTGGTTAGGACTGTTTGCTATTTTTTTTTTTTTATTCATATGTGTGTTTTTTCTGGTGGGGACTATAGTTCTACAAAAGGACAAATAATTCATCTGTGTTCTCTCTCTTTGTATTTTCATTAAAATGAGCGGCTATTTAAAAAAGGAAAAGATTCCAGATGACCTGCTATTTGGGTCTCTGACTTTTTAACTGCTCAATGAAAAGGATGCAAAGTGAATTGGATAGCTCTTTTAGAATTCTGCCGAGAAAAAAACAAAGAAAGCAGACAGTTTGGTGAGAAGCTAGGATGAATGGGACTTTGGGGAAGAGGAATGTGCAACAGCCCACTGTTTTATCACCCTCCTCTACTATCTACCCACTTCCTAATTTCACCCCTTTCTGCCTGTGCAGCTGCATGGGGCCAGTCTCTGCTTTTAGGTTCCTCAGCCTCCAAACTTACTCCCTAGATATGAAGTCAAGTAGTGACTGGCTTGGGGAAACAGCCGAACACAAGTTGGGAAGTGAAGAAATTGTATTTCTGATTTTTTTTCTTGGAATTCAAGAATTAAATCCACATTAACAGTCTTGTGAGAGGATGGGAAAATAGCCTCTATCATTTATTATTATTATTACTAATATTTCCTTTTGAAACTAGAGTTGCCTAGTTTTAATTTTAGAATTAAATTTTATTTTACTTAATGTTTTTAATAAATTAAAATTTTAATACTCTAGTGGCTAATATTTCAGGATAGCTTTTAAAACATTTTAGATGTTTTTATTGATTTTAGAGAGAGACTAAAGGAAAGGGATAGAGAGATAGAAACATCAGTGAAAGAAAAACATCATCAATTGGCTGCTTCCAGCATTCCCCTTCTGGGGATAGAGCCCGAAACCCAGGCATGTGCCCTGACTGGGAATGGAACCAGTCACCTCTTGGTTCCCGGGTTGACACTCAACCACTGAGCCACACTGGCTGCGCAGAAAAATCAGGATAGCTTTAATAAATCTAAATCTCCAACACAGGGGGACACTAAAATGATAACAGAGCTCTAAAGCTTAGCAAGACTTCTCTGGGAATATTAATGGTAAGCAACTTAAGATT